GTCCTCTTTTGGAAGGCCAAACAAAGTAGTTTCGCTTTAACAAGGAAACAGCGTCACACACGGCGGCCTTGAGTGAGCGGCGGCCGGCGGATTCGACGAAGGAGCAGCCGGCGGGCTTGCGGCAACCACATGTGACGACCCCGGGCTGGATTCCGTGGATATCGTCCTCTTTTGGAAGGCCAAACAAAGTAGTTTCGCTTTCTCAACGAAAAACACAGCGCCTTCACGACATGGTGGCGGCATCGGCAACAACAATACTACAGCGAGAATAAAAGTTACGCCTTCTTTCTTTGCGTGAACATTTTGGCGGCGTTATGCAAATCTTCCCACATCGTGACGTAGATATGTGGGGGCGTGTTAGAACGAGCCGTTTTAGGTAGGCGTGGCTGACTCTTTAACTTTTATAAAGAATATCTCTTTGGATTTGAGACTTTACAGATCTTCTTTATGCACCAAGAGCTTGTAGCACTTCAAAGAGAAAGGAAAAATTTAAATCGCATCATATGACCTCTTTAAAGACCCATTGGAAATATGCACCAAACAGCCTTTTCTTGGGAGGTAGGTCTCTCTCTCTCTCTCTCTCTCTCTTTCTCTCTCACACTCTGTCTTATTTGAATGTGCAGAAGAAGTCTATTTTTGAAGGAGGAACTGAAACATTTGCAAATGCTTTTTTTATTATTTTATTTTTTGCAGAAGCAACTCTAAAAACATGTTGCTAAAAATAAGTAAATATTATAAACTATATTCACTACTAATGTTTTTTATAATATTCATATTGAAAATATCAAATTGTTGTCTGATTTCCTTCTGTTGTTATATTATTATTATTTTCCTTTTTGAGGCAGTTATAATCAATACGGTTTCCAAGAATAATTTTTCAAAATTATTCTTACAAAAGAAAAAAATACTCTCTCTCTCTATATGTGTATATGTTTCCAGGACGCTCTATGGGTGCTCGTTCAGCTGTTGCTGTGTGTAAACGCATCTGTGACAGGCAGAAGGATGCAGTCCAAGGTGTTCTGTGTTTGTCATTCCCACTGAATCTACCAGGAAAACCACAAACAAATGTTGAGCGGAGCCATGGCCTGCTTGCACTGTCCCAAATGTCTGGTCTGTGCTGTTTGTTTCTGGCACTGCAGATAACATGTGTGAACAGGTGAACACATATGGCAAGTTTTTGATTAGTTTGGGCTTTAAATTAAGTAGTCTACCTTGATGTTCCTCCTGTTGAACCTTTAAAGGGATAGTTAAACAAATGAGAATTTTGTCATCATTTACTCGTACTCATGTCATTCCAAACCTGTATGACTGTATTTCTTTCTTCTGTGGAACACAAAAGAAGATATTTTGAGAAATTAAGTTTTATTACAGAAACACTTTTTTTGTTTGTTTTTGGTAAAGGTCTAATATAAAAAGTCAATTTGATTATTAATTACACCGAAACTATCAGGTTCTTTCATATTCATATTACTTTAATAATGTAATACAAAGCGTATCCTTGTCTTGCTTTTCAGAATCTTCTACAAAGTATTATGCATGTTATGAAAAGCACTTCTGCTGTTCATTGGGTCAAGGATGCAAACCATGGACTCACAGTGCGTGGCAGAACAGAAGAATCAGTACTGGAGGAAGTCAGCTGTTAATATGGTGCAGGAACCATGGAATAAAATTAATATTCCGTTTCCAGGTGCTGTTTCTTCAAGTAGGATCCTGTTTATTGACTCAACTGGTATGTTCTGACAACCCATATATTTACTAAACGCTTTACACTTTACTTTTTTTACTACCCGGTCCTGCATATTTGCTTTATACAACATTAGGAAGATCAGGCCCTTTCTTTCAGAACATGCAACACAACTCCTTTTTCAAGCTCTTGTTCTATCCAGGCTGGACTATTGCAATGCTCTCTTGGCAGGTCTTCCAGCCACTTCTATCAAACCTCTACAATTAATCCAAAATGCCGCTGCAAGATTAATCTTTAATGAGCCAAAAATAATGCATGTCACACCTCTGTTCATCAATTTGCACTGGCTACAAGTAGCTGCTCGCATTAAATTCAAGGCATTAATGTTTGCCTACAAAACCACTACTGGCTCTGCACCCATTTACCTAAATTCATTTCTTCAGAGTTATGTGCCCTCTAGAAGCTTGCGTTCTGCAAGTGAACGATGCTTTATTGTGCCATCTCAAAGAGGCACAAAATCACTTTCACTGACTTTTTCATTAACTGTTCCATCCTGGTGGAATTACCTGCCCAAATCAATCCGAGCAGCTGAGTCCTTAACCATCTTCAAGAAACGACTAAAAACACATCTGTTCCACCTTTATTTGACCCTCTAACTCTAGCACTTTCTATTCTGTTTTAATTCTATTTTATCTATTTATCATCTTTTTTTTAATAAAAAAAACACTAGCTTTCTATTTTTTCTATTCTATCTACTTGTTTTTCTTTGTGTGTGTGTGTGTGTGTGTATATGTGTGTGTATTATTATATTTATACTACGGGGCCGTTGAATGCTTGAATCTGATTGGCTGATGAACGTTCTGAGGCGTGCAATTATATTCAGGGAAAGCACGGTGAACGTAGTTCCAGGCAGCTCTCTTGACCGCATTACAGTTCCATATCACTTCACATAGTTAACTGTAATAACGGAAATTAGCATACAGAATTACTGCAATCACACGTGCTCGCACACGCACACTACGGTCACGCAGTTTGCACAAAAAGGTGTTGTCAGCACTGCCCTGACGATTTTATCAGTTAGCCTAGTGTAGCAACTTAAAGGCTACACATGACATTTCTCACTAGAGAGGTAATAACAGCGCTGTTTAGAGATGCTGCTGCAGAACACTGTTGAGGGACGCACAGAGGTAGCCTTATTCACACAAGCTCTCTCTCTTTCTCTGTGTGTCTCTGTCTCTCTCACTCTTTCTAATAACTTAATTAATTACTGCATTAGAATGCTATCAACGGCTCAAGCCTCCAATACCAGATTTAAAACGACGTTTTGGAACTAGCAAAAGAGGCGTTGGATGAGATGCGGAAGAAATAAACCGGACAAATCCCTTTAAATATATCATCTGATCGATGTCTTGAGGTGTGGTAACCGTAGTATAAGCGGAATAATTGATGACGGGCCGTTGAATTATTAGAAAAATAATGCGCACCTGAGGTGGTGATGGAGTGGCCGTTACACCTCGGGTGTGCATTATTTTTCTAATAATCAACAGCCCGTCGTCAATTATTCCTTACATATATACATATATTCCTTCTGCTAGCTTTCTTTGCAGTGTTTCCCGGGACCTGTGTGTTTCTGTCCTTTTTCTAGGGTAGGTCCTCGATGAGCACCCCCTCTGCTGGGTTCAGAAACCGGGTGCTCGACTTACAGTGTTTATTTCACTCGTCAATATATGTCCAGACGGTATGATAAGCTGGGTTTCGGCTTCATACTTCCTGGATTATGCGGACAGGTTACAGGCTTCTGCGGGAGCCTTCTTGATCAATAGGCCCCCGGCACGGCACTGCAAAGATTTCCTGGATGTCTGGGCTGGGCTTATGCTTTCAGGCTGCCCTGTCTGGTCTACCGTATCTAGGTCGCCCTAAGGGGCCTCCCGATCACCAGGATATCCCCTCTTGCTGAGGCATAGAGCGGGAAGTATAGGTGGCATTTGCGAGAACCTTCTTGTGTAATGCTTTCTCCGGCAGTGCTCCCCTCACCTTAGAGGGTTGTATTTGAGCTTGCCTCTCCCGTTTGGCTCAGTACTTCCGGGTATCTGTGAGCAGATGCTTGGAAAACTCTTAAATCCATACTATGGTAAGTGCACACGTTAAGCTTTGTGCACTTTCTAAAAATCCACATAGGTGGTAAGTGTGCACGTTATGCTTTGCCCACTTTCTAAAATCCACATAAGTGGTAAGTGTGCACGTTATGCTTTGCCCACTTTCTAAAATCCACATAAGTGGTAAGTGTGCACGTTATGCTTTGCCCACTTTCTAAAATCCACATAAGTGGTAAGTGTGCACGTTATGCTTTGCCCACTTTAGAAAAAAAAATCCACATTGTAGGATTTTTAAAGAATTTATTTGCAAATTATGGTGGAAAATAAGTATTTGGTCAATAACAAAATAACAAAATAATACTTTGTTATATACCCTTTGTTGGCAATGACAGAGGTCAAACGTTTTCTGTAAGTCTTCACAAGGTTTTCACACACTGTTGCTGGTATTTTGGCCCATTCCTCCATGCAGATCTCC